CCCATTTACAGGGCAAAAGCCCTCTTCAATAAAGGGGAAGCCTTTGCCTGCCAGTGGAAGGACAACAGAGAGGGGCAAACCTAGCCTATCTTAGGCAGAAACTCCACAGTCTTACAGGCACTACTAAAAGACCCTCTCTTGGGTTGCCACCAGCTATAGCTCTGAAAGTCACAGCCTTGAGCAGGTGCATATGAGAGAAGTTGGTCGGACAGCCTGGTCCCAAGCCATATCAGTCTTCGTAGGTCACGAACAGAACTTGGCATTCTGCTCAGAAGCAGAACCGAAGCCAGTGACGTTGTTGTGGTAAGGAAGCCTCATGCCCCATATAACCAGTTCTGGTCAGCAGCCCGGCCTCAGCAAGCTGGACCAGCAGAACAGCTTCTGAAGGCAGGAAAATGTGACCATGGCCAGTCAGATATCTCTAGGAATGGGTGGAGGTAGTGCACTTTTTAAATGGAAAAGCCATGTTGGCAAATGTAGGATTGCTGCTACATTGCATTAATGCCTCACCTATTCTCCTGCAAGGAACCTAGAGCAGTTTACAAATGCTCCTCCTCTCCATTTTACCCTTACAACAACCCTGAGAGGTAAGTTAGGCTGAGAGTCCATGACTGCCTCAGTCACCCAGGGAGCTTCATGGCAAATGCAGTCTAGAATCTGGATTTCCTGAGTCCCGGTCAAGCTAACCACCATCCTCCCAGGTTCCATATGTATGTCTTGTCAAATAAGAGTAAATCTATGATGCACAAGAAACAAGTGTTTGGAACAAAACCTCTTTCAGATCAAAGGGAAACAACCCTGGTGAACATGGCTCTTTCTTTGGTATGCTTGGGAAGTATGCAACAGCATCCAGCTGTTAACATACGTTATGGGATCAGTATAAACTCCACTATTTGCTGGCATATGCTGCTCTGTTGTTGTTGTTGTTGTTGTTGTTGTTGTTGTTATTATTATCATTATAGTATTTCTATGCCGCCCCTTGCCGAAACCTCGGGGCGGCTTAGCAGTTGGGTCCCATTGGATACTGCCCCATGTGCTGGCATCTTGGAGACAGATTAAAAAATGTTAGAGTTGGAAACAGCCAAAAGTGATGTATTTCAGACAAATGGCTATATCAGGTGTTGAAAGGATGGAGAGACTGGCTTTGAAATATAGAACCTTATGGATGCTTATGGAAATGAGTAACTGTGAAACAACTCCGCATGGTTTCATTCATTTTAAGTATACCAGAGAGAGCCTTCATTTTTTCCCTCTCACGAACATAGTAAAATCTCTAGTAAAACTAGAGATATTCTACATGTTTTTACTCATCAGAATAACTCTCATGCATTTAATTTCCAAATTTCTGCATCTTCTCAACGTATACACACAATATGCATGCATGCATACAAACACACATTTTCTTTCAAAGCACATTTTAATGCACGCAGTGATACTGATGGGAAGTGTGTCCCCACCTTGAAAGAAGTGCAAAATCTGGTAGAGCTCGCTCTCGCGCTCACGCTCACGCTCGCGCTCTCTCTCTCTCTCTCTCTCTCTCTCTCTCTCTGTGTGTGTGTGTGTGTGTGTGTGTTTGGGGTGGGGTGGGGTGGGGATCTGATGTCATGGAAACTGGTAACAAAGTGCCATTGTCCACATTCAGTGTATGACTAAACTGGCCCAACGTTGCTAGGAATACAAGTATTTCCTGAAGGAAGATTAAGCAGTTGACCTTTGGAAAATATGTATTTCTAGATAGCTTCATTTTCTCAAAAGCAATTTAACATCCCTTAAATAGAATGTATAATACTTAATAGTGCTAACACATGTTACATGTCTCAGAGTGAGGATGCAGCTTGCATTTGAAAGGACCTTGTCAAAAAAGGGAGAAGAAACGGATTGATGTGGCATTTGATATATACTCAATATTCTTGAGAAATAAAAATCTATATTTTGTATTATAGAAAAAGATATTGTATGTTGACATGGGAAGAACCTACAGAAGAGAATGCAGATGAATTTTTTTTTGGAGCATATGAAAAAGACGTGAGCAACTTGAACAATTTAACAGGGAATTGTAATCTGTTTACATAAGGCAAAATGCTTGATTTTCATAGTAAAGCACCAAATAAAGGCTTACTAGTTGGTGTTGATTAGCTAGGCTTTCAGCATGTTTTTCATTATGTTGAACACAAGAAGCCATTACAAATAATTTGTGTGCTTTTAGTGTTGAAATATTTGTTTATATTAGCCAAATTGACTCAAGGGTCACAGAACCAAAAATAAGGATAAAGTGGTCAATTTTTACCATGGCAAAAGGTTAACTGTTGCATAATTCTCAAGGTTTATTAATAGACCTTAGCTGGATTTTTTAAAAAAGAAATTTCTATCCTCAAGGTAGGTTTCTGTTATTTCAAATAAATCAGACATTTCATGAAACTTTTTGATGATTTTGTAAAAGCTGTTGTCAGACACGACCCACAATTTGCTTTAAATTAGCTAAATCAAGAAAGGATTATGTTCAGAGAGACCTGGCTGAGTGAAGTGAGCGAGCAACAGTATGTGATATGAATATTGACAGATGTGTAGGAGGAAGATATAAGAACTTATATGGTGTAGGAGGAACACATAGGAAGTCATGCTCAATAGGATGTTCACAGCTAGTTTTTCCTCCCTTTGCACATTCAAAGCCACAGGTCTTTCCTGCAAAATGTTCTTTATTAACCCAAAGATTTTTCAGAAGCACAAAGCACAGAAGGAATCTCTGAGTCTGCACAGAGTGGTCTGTTGAGCCCAATCTAATATTTACTTCTAATAACGCCTCTTATGAGTATGTCTGGGACCCATCCTTTTGAGGAGAGCCCTTTGGAGATTAGCATGCCTCCTTTCTGCATGCTGATTCTCTAATCGGGCTGCCCTCCTCTGACAACATTAAATCATGGGGTCAAGAGACATTGGGAGACATCTAGAGCATAGGTGGAGGAAATCACAGAATGAATCTGACCAAACATGCTTACATGCTCATTATTGAGCCTATGCTGTGATGGTGAGGGCAGCGAAGAAAAATTCTTCTCCACTTCCATTGCCTCCTCGCAGTGCCGTCTAGCGGAGCTTTTTTGAGTGGTACATGGGCTGATATACCCTGGCCCTAAGAAAGATCCTGTACCACCATTGATGGCCTGCTGTGACGACTTTGCTCAGCACTTTAAGGAGAAAATCACTCAGATTCATCACAAGCTGGACTCCTCAAGTGATTCAGATCCTTTAGGGGAGATGCCAATGACTCTGTCTGGTCAGGCATTAATGGATGAGTTTCAGTTACTGCAGCCCGATGATGTGGACAAGGTGCTTGGAGAAGTACGTCCTACCACCTGTTTACTCGACCCTTGCCCTTCGTGGCTGCTGACCAAACACGGGATTGGTTCCTGGATCCTGGAGGTTATTAACGCATCTCTGAGGGACAGCCGGGTGCCCGCTCCTTTAAAGGAGGCGGTAATTAGGCCTGTCCTAAAGAAGGCATTTCTGGATCCAGAGATGGCCGCCAATTATAGATCGGTGGCCAACATCCCATTTTCGGCAAGGTGTTGGAACGGGTGGTGGCGGGAAAACTTCAAGCACTCTTGGATGAAACTGATTATCTGGAGTCATTTCAGTCTGGCTTCATACCTGGGTATGGCACTGAATCTGCCTCGATCACCCTGTATGATGACCTGTGCAGGGAGAGAGACAGGGGGAGTGTGTCCCTGTTGGTTCTCCTGGACCTCTCAGCGGCTTTCGATACCATCGACCATGGTATCCCCCTGGACAGGCTGGCGGGACTGGGAGTAGGAAGCACTGCTTAGCAGTGGTTCCGCTCCTACCTCAACGGCCGATTCCAGAAGGTGGTGCTGGGGGACTTTGGCTCTGCACCATGGCAACTTTGCCATGGAGTACTGCAGGGTTCCATTTTGTCCCCCTTGCTGATTATTATCTACATGAAACAGCTGGGAGAGGTCATCAGGCGGTTTAGGCTGCAGAGTCATCAGTATGCTGATGACACCCAGCTCTACCTCTCTTTTTCAGCTAACCCAGGTAAGGCAGTGGCTGTACTGAACTGGTGCCTGGCTGAGATAATGGGCTGGATGAGGGCCAATCAACTGAAACTCAGTCCAGATAAGATGGAGGTTCTGCTGGTGGGTGATTCGAGCTCCTGGGTAGGTGCCTTGGGCCTTGCCCTGGCCAGGGTTGCACTCCCTCTAAAGGACAGGGTCTGCAGCTTGGGAGTGCTCCTTGACCCGGAGCTGTCCTTGGAAGCTCAAGTGACTGCAGTGGCGAGGAGCGCTTTCCTTCAGATTTGGTTATCCATCAGCTGCGTCCCTACCTGGAGGAAGATTGCCTAGCAACAGTGACACATGCATTGGTTACTTCCTGGTTGGATTTCTGCAATGCTTTACATGGGGCTGCCCTTGAAGACAGTCCGGAAACTTCAGATGGTGCAAAACAGAACTGCCAGAATGCTGACGGGGACTGGGTGTTATTCTCATATAAGCCCAGTCCTCTATCAGCTCCACTGACTTCCCATCGAAGTCCAGGCTCAATTCAAGCTGCTGGTTATTACTTATAAAGCCCTAAATGGCTTGGGACCTGGATACCTAAAGGAACACCTTCTTCCCTATTTGCAATCCTGAGATTGGCAGCAGATGCCATCTTCCAGAAACCCTCTGTGAAAGATGTTAAGAGACAGAGTACCCGGAGGAGGACCTTCTCTGCGGTGGCGCCCCGTCTATGGAATGCGCTCCCCAGAGAGGTCCACCTGGCGCCATCATTATATGTTTTTCAGTGCCAGGTTAAGATCTCTTTATTTGATCAACATTTAATAAGTTTTAATATTGTATTTTTACCATTACATTTTAACCGCAGCCAGAGTGGGTCAATAATTTATGTTTGGGGATATGTGTATTTTATCTTTGTAAGCCTTCCTGAGGCTTTTGCAAAGGACGGCATAAAAATATCCTAAATAAATAAATAAATAAGAGCCATACCCACTTCTGTCTCTGAGAAACTCCTTTCTTCTAAACCACGTACCAGTAACTGTACACCTTGGATATTCTCAGAGGCTGCGTAAGCACCTGGAGAATCTGGTCTTGAGATAAATGTCTCCAATTCATGCATTTCAATGCCTAGAATTGGCCCACATTCCAAGGCGTCCTCCTGCTCTTCCTCCTCCTAATCAGGAGGCCTTGAGAATGTGCTCCAAAAGCAACTGTCTTGCTCGCTCCTGACATAGGACACCAAACTAACAATAGTATTACAGTTTAGAAATGTAGAAGACATGAAAAATGTTGTAATGGGGACATTTGTCATTTGGGCTAGGTTTTACATCTATTGCAAGCCTCCCCAAAAGCATTAAGTCCTAGTTATATTCAGAAATAGAACACAGATGTGTTGCTTTGTTTACCTAGCAAGCTACACATTTTCCAGTCATCACAACAGATGGCCTTTTGATTTTGGTACAAGAAATGTAGCTGTTAAGCACAGGGCCATCTTAATGCATGGGCCTGATGGGCACTTGCCTGTGGGCCCCATACTAATCTGTGTATGTTAACCCTTGGAAAATCGGAAAACTTCCAAAATTAACAGTAGTTGTAGTTGTCGTAGGGGCCCCAGGACACTGCTTTGCCCGGGGCCCATAATGCTGTTCAGACGGCCCTGGTTAAGCAGCCTGCAGCTGCCTTGGATATCATGTGATAATAGGACTACTATTTGGCTTTATTATCATATATTTTTAATTTATTTTTCGATTTATATCCTGCCTTTTTCCTACAAAGGGCTCAAGGCAGCTTACATCTCCTCCTCCATCTTATCCTCACAACAACCCTGTGAGGTAGGTTGGGCTGAGAGTCTGTGACTGGCCCAAAGTCACCCTGTGGGCTCCATGGCTGAGCGGGGACTAGAACCCAGATCCTCTGAGTCCCAGTCCCACGCTCTTCACCACTACACCCTGTGCCACATTTTGGAGAAGTGCATATGGCACAGACTATCCTGTGGTGGCACCCTCTGTGTGTAGTGGTTTAATGGTATTCCTCTTGAAATCAGAAAGGAATGTTGTCAAACTTTTAGCACCTCTTTAAACAAATTAATGTACCTGTGTTCTGGCTCACTTAATTCTGATTGCTCTTATAGTATATAATGTGTTCTCAGTCATGGCTGCATTTAATTATTCTAATGTTTTGTTTTCTTACTTGTTAATATTTTTTTCTTATTTTGAAGGGTGGTAAATAAATGAACACAAATATATGTTGAAATTTCTTGGTCTTTAGATACGTTTCTTCTACTTTTTGTGCTATGCCTAATGAGTTAAAGACTTTCTGGGCTCTTCATTCCTTACAAGGATGGAGAATAGCTTTATCTTTGCTTTTCTTAAAAAAAAGTAACCTAATAGGGTAATCCATGTTTCTTTAATATAGGATGCTTCTAAACAAGTTTTATTGTGCAACTGTCCTGCCTCAGACTCAGAAATACATGAATGATCCAAATGTCTTTGCCTTCCATGTTTTCCCACCATCACTGGTTTTATTATCACAAAACTGTTAAGGAGTGGATTATAAAAGAACTGTACATTGCCTTTTGGTTGATAGCACTAGGAGATGTTTGTCTGGTAGTACCTTTGGCTATCTTACTTAAGAATAAGAATTATTATTATTATTTATTGGGGATGATTTGAGTGAGAATTTGTTTCTAAATGTGTGCATGTATATACCAGTTTAAGTAAAGGTGTGTCCTCTTTTGTGTCACATTTTCAGTTGTACACAGCCTCTTATTTGCTGATACCAGATAAATTATTTGCAGTTATATATTGATCCCAGAGGAAAACTAATCTTGGACTTCTTGAGAGGAGCTGTAATTTGTCATAATGTAAAAGACGAGAGGTATTAAGCCTCATGTTATAAGAGTTATGTATCATTGTACTGTAGCCTCTATGTATTTAACTTTTACTTAAGTTACTGTTTAAAGCAGTGAGTATCTCCTTTTGTTATGCACCTCAGAGGACAAATTCTTGAATCTTTGGCATCATCTGTAGAATTCCACAGAAAAAATGTTCTGTGGCCTGGAAAGTACTGACTCAATAGCTAATATGTGCTAATTCACCTAAGTGAATGCATAAGAATTGTGTAGCATGAACCAGATGAGCTAAACATTGTATTAAGACAGAGAATGCATATGGTGGTTAAGAATTTACTCTAGACTTTTGTTACACAAGTCATCTCTTCCTGTTGGATTATCTGTGTGAAGCGTATCATCTTCCGAAAGATAGTGAAGAAACTGTAAATTCTTTGCTTATAAGGCTGATGCTGGTGCTACTAAAATTAGTGGTATTCACATGAGCAGAAATGGAGCTGCACTCTTAGTTCTAGCTCCCAACATTGTGTTGCCATGTAATGCTGTCCAAAGCCTTCCACAAATGCCATGTGAACACTTGTTGCTGGGGTACCTCCATGTGTACCGCTGGATGCATTTAGGTTTCCATGCAATCTAGGCTTCCAGGTGTACACATGACCACCTGTGAGTCATGCTACATGCAGATATGAAAAAGGGCAAAAGAATTATTGGTATAGCCCCGTTTCTGCTTTCATGGTGAGTAATACAAGTTTTCAGACAGCCTGAACAGGGCTAAAGGAAAATGCTGCATTTATAAATGATAGAGCTGCAAGTCATTTACTTCTGTCAGTTATGATGAAGTACTCCAGGGTTGTTACAAGAAATCTATCTCGTAACTTAATTGTAAAGGGGTATTTGGACTTGTGTCCTATGGTCCATGGAGGGGTGTCCCAGGTAAGTCTAGGATACCTCAGATCTCACTTTGAGGCAATGCGATTTGGACACCTCCTCCCAGGCTCTGTGGAAACTTCTGTAACTCTTTCCTCTCTGATGGCAGCACTCTGATGTTGGTGGAGATAAAAGGGAGTGAAGCAGGGGTGTCATGGACAGATAAGAGAAGACATCTGCAAGTTCCAGAGCCCTCCTCTTCCCCTGACAAAAACAAAAACAAACAAAAAACAAATAGGCACCAGAAGAAAGAGGAGAATAACACTCCTCCTTGCATTCTATCCTGTGAAAGCTGCCACACTGGTATGTAGAATTGTGGTGCTAGACTTCAGGCAGTGCCAACTCCAGAGTGTGAAGGCACCTCCATGGGCCATTCCTTTAGTGAGTCTACCTTGTCACTGCTACTTTCACCAGCTGTTCTTGCTCCCCAGCTTCTTCCTTATTGTGGCTTCCACTTGCTTCTTGACAGGCAGAAGGGCAGTGATCAAATAGGCACTGCCATTTCTCCTTCTCCTTCCCACCATCAATGCTGTCTGCACCGGAATGAGAGCCAAGTGAACAAATAGGTTGCAATGGGGCAGAGGAAGATACTCCGGCCTGTTTTGTTAGTGGGCCCTTGCTAGGGTGTCAGCCCTCAGCAGGTGCCCAGCTATGTCTATCCTTAACCCCATGCCTGACTGAAAAATTACTTCACCACTCATTCAAGCATCTAAGGATTTCCCCCAGGAATGAAAGCCATCCCAGTTGTACCAAATTTGGTAAATTTTTCCCAGTTAGTTTGAAGAAAAGTTTTCATTATGCAAGGACACCTTCTGGGCAATAGACTCCAAAACTACAGCCGGTGATACAGAGATGGATTATGTTGAAGTAATGATGAAAAAATTTGTATTCAAATGAATCAGCTGCATATTTTCTAGCACACTGAATTCTTTTCATAAATCCTACATTGTTGACTGGGTTTGATGGCAGAAAAATCGCCTTACTTCATGTCTTTAGCTTAGAGCCCATGAATACAGTTTTGCATATGGAAAATGTATACTCTGCATCTGCCAAAGGGAGGAGGAAGGCACTGCACCCTCCCAAGATGGCATGAAAAACTGAAATCAGTTCTCCTCTTTGATTTCTGAGAGCCTCCCCTGGATTGTCTTTACACAGGGGGACCAGTGGATCCAGACAACATAGGTAAATGTTTCTAGGTAAATGTTTTATGTGGAAAAGATACATATATGCAAGGGAGAAATCCTAATAAAATAAGGCATTATATTTTATATGTTTAGATGTTCATGCATATAACATAGCACAGGGTTTTATTTATGATTTCTTTTGGATTTCCTTTTTACATATACAGTATCCCAGCAATCTTATATACATCAGAAATAAATTCCATTGAGTTTACCATTGCTTACTCCAGATAACCTGGTAGAGAATGGCAAACTGAAAGAGGCACATATTCATTGTATTCATTTGGAATAAACAAATACTGATCCAGAGTCTTAGACTAACCACATTAAAGATCTGATTTTTGTGGGGTTTTTTTGAACAAAATAATGCCTAAGTTTGCAACTCATCCTATGACCATATATTCAAAATAAAGAGAAAGCATCAGTGAATACTGTGGCATGATGTATAGTCATATTAAGATTTTTGAGACATTTAAGATTTATATCCTAGAGAGAGAGAGCAGTAGCCAGAATATAATTGTGTATAAAATAATAAATACTATGCAAAGACATTGTAGGAGTGACTTTTTCTAGTTATGTCAGCTGAAGGGAAATGTTCAATGAATAATGAGAATTTTAATGTCTAAAAGCAATTATATTCTCACACAGTGTGTAATTTGACTTTCAGTGGGATTGTTATTTATCCATAGTTATAATTATTAATGCTAATGATGTATCCAGGAGATTTAATAAACTTAATATTGTAGCACTTTATATAATCTCTATCAAGCAAGTATTATTATCGCAATGTTGCCCCTTGGGTGCTAGACAGTTCCGTTTTTACTAATATCTTCACAGCTAGCTAGATAAAACACAGTTTAATATATACTGTAATGCCTAAGTTATACACAAATCCCAGTGGCTGCTCTTTCTACAGAAAATTCACTTTTGGAAATGCAAATAGAAGAAAAATATTAAGTACTGGCTACTGTGAATGTGTGCCTAACCTCCTATCAGTCCACCTCTTTTCTATTCCAAATGTTCTCTCTTGGTCTTGCTTCCCCACTGGGCTTGA